CACCGGAAATTAGAGATAAACTTTTGGCAAAGCGCTTTGGCAGTTCGTATGCGGTTTGCGCAAAACCATATGTTGCACACAAAATTTGAATTCTGCGCAGCACTGCGGAGCTTTTTGATCTGCCCATATAGCAACTTCGGTTTATACAGATTTTCGCCCCTACGTTCGGTTGGTGTTGGAATTTGTCGTCGCGGAACAAACTGACGCAGTTTTTTCGTTCTTGTGTAAGCACCCCAGGTACGGTTACTTGGACAGGCTGAATCCCTTAAGTCCATGCTTATTTTAATACGACTCATGAGGAACAAATTAAATTACTTCGGACGAAGGACCTCGCTTTCTGACGCATTTGCCACTAGCTCATTGAATTGGGTGACACAACTATACAAAAGACATAAGGCGGCTTTTCTGCCAGGAAGGGCTAGTCGGTTCCTTAAAAAGAGGTTACACATGATATCGTAATGGGTAACGACAAAGTTTTCCTCGTTGTTCGCACTGATGTAAACCGGGTACTAGATGTAACGAAAGAGCAACATCGCTTGATCCCAACGGCCAAATAGCATATCTATGGGCATGATGTCCATCATTAATTTTTCGTTGGAGAGCATAAGGTCTAAAGCAGAGGGCGTGTCACCCCTAGGGAATCGCATAAGAGAGGTGACATAGTTGTACAGATGTACATGGACAACTACCTATTGTAAATCAGCCTTAAATGTCTCATTGTGCGATGCTGGAACTTCGATTGCGTGCAGATTATTGTCCTTTTAGTACAAGGACGTGACTGTGTGGTCGTGCGAAGACTTGTTTCATCTCAGAAGCTGGGCACTGATCCATTTCCAAGCTGGACATTTGAGAGCGGTAAACTATTGCTAGTAATAACACATCATCAGGTCCTAAGTGTATACGACACCAAAGAGAATAGCAAAATTTTGTTTCTGGGTCCACAATGATATCAACATGTAGGTCGGATGGATAATAGAAGAGATTCGCCTTCTGTGCTAGGTCAATCTTTTCGTATAGACGTCATGCCGAGTAGAACAATCTCAACATCAGTTATCGCCTTATTCATTCATGTTTCGGTGACCAAAACTGATTTCCAAGGCGTGGAGACCTGAAGAATACGAAGCATTTTTAGCTTGCTGAGAAGACCTTGTGCCTTTGTATAGACGCCATTGAGAGCATCGGGGGTCAGAATCGTGTTTGTGAATGTTGGTTTCCGGTGAGGGTGCATGCCGACAACGGCGGGGTGGGCATTTTGTTGTGCGGAGCTCTCAGCTCCACAAAAGGGTAACTATCTTTTCCTCATTCAGCTGCCAGTTTGTTTTGTCATTATTGTTCTGAGCTACACGGTGAGAGAATGGTATTGGTAAGGTACTTTCTCAGTGTTACATTGTCTATCTGTGTCCCGGTGCCTATTGCTTCATAGGTTTTTCGGAGAGCAGCATTTTAAGCATTTTGTGCCTCTTTTGATCGCATATTCTGCCAGCCGTTCGGGATGCAATTATACTTTCTTCCCTCGCGGACCACTCCCTCTGTGCGAACACAGTTATACATCTGAAAATTGGTAGCGACGTACACGTAGTGCGAAACCAAGGAGAATCAGGGGTACTATTGCTATTTATCCTGCTGAGTCTAAGGCGAGCACAGTGAATATGGAAACATTTTAGTCAGTTGCTGCATGCTATTTTAAATCTCGCAAGTTTTACACAGCGGTCTGGGCCACAACGGAAGTTCAATTCGGAAGCTTTAGGCTTGGCTTTCCGTGAGCAATCAATAGGAGCCATTATGACGGTCAGGTCTGCAGGATTCGTTCTTGGCAACGTCTACCCTGGTTTGCTAAATACAAACGCTGTTGGTCAGACTGGTTGTCTGGCAAAAACCGGTAAGATTGCAGTAGAACAATTGCAATATGGCGAATCCCAAAGACAGTTAGCTCAAGCAGCAAGATCTCCGCAAGTAGCCGGAGAACGTACACAAAGTTCGCGCAGAAGCAAAATACACCAAAAGAACGAATTTGTGAACGATTCGCACAGAGAAATCTCCATTAACACAGTATTCCCAAAGAAAATTTATAACCCGGCAAGGTAGATAAAACCTCCGCGGTGTTCGCAGGTACATTTAGCTGCGGTATGGGTGCCGGATGTAGCGCAAAAATTTGGATACATACAAATAAAATATTAAATAATGTCAGCGGTTTATGTAATATAAAATGAGCTTTTAAGATTACATTCAACTTCGTTAACTGGGTAATGTTTCAAACTATAAGACATTCAACTCCGTGTTGCATGGAACGACTTTGTCATTTATTCGATTACTAATCATTTAAAGTAAGTAGGTAAGTAAGCAAAATCTAACTTTTAAAATAACGACTTTGTAATACTGTAAGAAAACTGTTGGTCCGTTTTAAACATATCTTCCGCTCGATTAGAGGATAAATTGGTGAGAAGAAAACGTTAATTTATGGTCAATAATAATTAGGTCTTTACTATATACAAGCGTGTCCAAGCAAACACACTGTAATAAGATATTTACTAACTATATTCCTCGAATGGCTATTGGGATCAGCGTAAATAAGTACTTTAGTTTAAGGGACAAAAATTCGGCCGGTGGCCGATTGGTCTGCACTTTTGCTTTGCAACCATAAGGTTACCGGTTCGAATCCGCGTAGGGGTGGGCGTCCTCGCGGTATACTCAGCCCGCGCGCTACTAGTGGTGGTCGCGCGGCAGCGAAGCGCTGTTACCGCGTTCAGCTGACTTATTATTATTTATTATTATTAAGGGACAAAAGGGGCACTATTTTGAAGGATAAATGTTTAGTTAACACTATGATATAATAAAGTATTAAGTTACAAACTTTGATATTCCTTAATTATATGTGGTTATTTAGGATTTTTACTAAACTAGAAAGAAAAAGTAGGTAAACGCACTATATTACTAGTTTACATCAATAATTATACAGGCAATAAGCATTTAGTTTTAGTCTAACTTTGTGAGGCCTCCAAGTTAGATGATTGTATAACAGTTATCAAATGCTCTCTAGATATCATCAATCAGTTACTTACAATCGCGTATTATGAAATAAACAAGGCGTACATCAAGCGTTCTTTTGTGAATAATTAACTCGGTTCAGCGTGGCATCGACCATAACCGACTCACATAATTTGGCTAATTTTAAAAATTACTTATTAATTCTATAAAGCTAATTGGAATATGATGCTATTTAATGGATTAAGATAAGCGCAATCTCAACTTCCAGGTTATGTGAAAGCGCCACACGTTTTAATTATCCATATAGACATAGAAGCAAAAACCGCTCGGTAAATAAAAGCATTATTAATAATGATAACTGCATAGTTTCATTTCTGGAATTTGCCAATTATTTCAAATGAAACGAGAAGCGGACTTATCCTTAGTTTTTCAACCAGAGTAAATAGAAGGAAAATGAGCTTTGATTGCTATAGATGATGTATATGATTGTCGAATAGAGCAAATACTAGTGCACAAGTGTACTTTTCATATCCAGCGGTCAGTTCAAAAACGCCAATCACCAATTTATAATTTATGGTTAATACAAAGGGTCAGCATTTTTGACTAATCAGACGGTTAAACGTTTGTTAATCCTTGCATGACTTTGATAATATAATTGAGAGAATTTTGCTTAATATCAGTATATTCTGCAAAGCTGTCAAATAAATCATTTTAAGCATATTTGCGCTATCTTTGTTCATTATTTTCTATGACCTAATCCAGTCGATTTTGTCAGAAATACAATAGCCTAGTTAGTTTCGCATTTGCGGTGCGTGCATTATTTTGACGTGTCCGTAACCTATGGAGACCAAAAGATATTCCACAGTCGGCTAATGTGCTGATTTTTGCTTTAACTTCAGGCAAAGTTAAGTTTTGTTAAGGAATAATGTGGTTTGGTTAATATGCTTTTAACGTGACATCCCCAAAGAAACCTGAGCACGTGCTCCTATGTGATTTATATTGCTTGTAACATATTTAATGCATGGCAACAGATTTCCAAAGCACGCAACCCATTGTGTAATTAAAATAAAGCTATATAAATAAAAACCTTAAAGAAGACTAAGCACATACCGTGCACGTCACCCAGACCCAGGTAGGCTGTTTTCGCTGTCAATTGTTTGTATGAATTATGCAACATTTTTTCGACCACCAAGTTTAACATTTGAATCTATGCAGGGAAGCATTTCGTCCCACTTCCTAATAAAATTTATTGAATATACTTTACAATGACAACTCTGTGGAGGTGAGTATAATTCCTGCTAACATTGGTTAGTGTTTCGACCCTGCGAAACATATTTGAGTAAATGAACTATATTTGTAGATGTTGATTTTTCCTTGGTTCGTTTACAACTGCTAGCTCGCTAGACAATTAATTGGCTAACTACCAGCCATTTGACTTAAAATGTGTGTAATATCACCATATCACTAAAATACGTATAGTTGACTTTTGGTTCATTTGACAAATTCCCGTCTACGCTTACAGAAAATGTTTAACAATAATGGGATTTATGGTGCTAACTTTAAAGCAACGCATCCAACAATATTCACCACGTTGATTGTAAATCAAGTGTTTGGGTCTTCAAACCAGTCGCTCACGAATTCCTGTAGGATTCAAAGTCTTTCTAAAAGGTGATTGGATAAAATGTGTTCAACTGTGATTCGCCAAAGTCACAAATATTTGCAGACATGGGACAAATAACTAGGTTGGTTGCCCCATCCTACTCGACAGTAAGCATGGACTACTGAGTATGCAGCCACAAGTGATTTACACTGCTGAAGAATCGGCAACCTCTACCGTAACTAATCATATGATGTTAACTAGAACACATCTGAAGAATCATAAACGTAAAAACAGCTGCAATTCTTACAGGAAAGCTTTCAATCTGTTTTGCAAGTGTACATCTGTTCGTGGCATGTCAAAACTACACTCGGGTCCCAGGTTCCTCCGTGTTATGTGGTTACTATTTGTGCTCAGTATGACTTGTTTGCTGATCTCCGCAACTGGCTTACTCGTCAAAGATTTTCTTAACTACGACGTCAGTGTTTACACTCAACTCCGATTGGACGATCCCTCCCCGTTCCCAGCCCTCACTGTGTGTCATCAGCCACCATTCTCATATAACGCATATGAACTGTGGAAACGTAAGGAAATTATCTCACCTTCACAGTATAACCGATATATGCGTCAACTGACTTTGGATGCATTGTACAGGAACGATTTGGAATCGGTGAGTCGGATTTGGGGTTATGATAGTTTAAGTGTATATTATCAAAATTTACCTTACCACGATGCCGTAAGGCTGGGACATACGTCATCAATATATTTGAGTTGTATGCGTGGGTTTTCTCACACATTTGCATTTGAAGACGATTGTAACTTTTTACCTGGTTACAGAGTTTATCAATTTTCACATCATCTCTACTTAAACTGTCATACGTTTGAGCCAATTAACCCTGAGGAAGCAAATGAAACCACCATTTTCAGTCTTGTGGTTGGCATGGGTCCACGGGACAAAGACATAGAATTACAACAGGCCTTTTTCCTGGACGTTTTCGAACAAGCCCGTGGTTTGCGCATAGTCGTGCATGAGGCTGGGACATTGCCTGATTTGGAAAAAAACGGATTACATGTAGAACCTGGAAAATTGAACGAAATAACTTACGAGGCACATCGATGGAATAAACTGGACACTCCAAAGCGACGGTGCATGAAAGCTAATGAGACACACCGATTTCGTGATTTAGAACGCTGGTTTAACTATACTCATGCTGACTGTCTGATGCAATACCAACAGCTGGAAATTATGCGCAATTGCCACTGCATTTATGTGATGCACCCGCGATTATCTTTGCCCAGTGTGAAGCTACCGTATTGTGGTCGACTTTTACCAAATTACAACCAAACAGCATTTGTGAAACGACTGGAGTGTTTGGCAAAATATTTGGATAATGATATCAAGAGGAAGTATGACGGTACAAAATGTTTTCCTAGATGTAACTACTATGACTATTCAAGTACCACGTCAATTACAAAGTGGCGTGGGTATCCCTGGCAATTGTACTGGCTTCGTGTACAAAACCAGGCATCACAAACATTAATGCAACTGCACAGCGAAGCGCCCGGACGAAACTTGAGCCAAGAGACAGCTTTCAAGCAATGGGAGCTCTATCTAACTTATGAAAATCTGACTCATATACCCACAAAAAGTGAACTACTTCAGCTGCCTGGCGACCATAGCTTGTACGATAAACTTCCTCAATGGCCTCCAGAGGGCCTCGATTTGGACAGTGACGATTTTGCATACGTTGTACTGAAACGCAAGTCACCGAATACTGTAGAACAAAACGAGAAGTTGGTTCTGAGCTTGTATGTATTAGTGAGCCGCGTGGGTGGTCTTTGCTCCCTTACAGTTGGTCTGACAGCAGCATTCGTGGTTGAACTGTTGGAATTTATTTACCTCTTTTATGTCCAGTCCAAAGCATCAAAGACAGGGACGACAGCCGAGGAGTTAAAGCGAACGACAACAGAATTTACGGAGGCTACGTTTTCTCCAGAGCATTAATACATGTTCATGCATCAGCGTCACGAATCATAGACAAGGGTGGATGATTTAATCTTCGATCCGTTGCATGTATAAAAGTACTTTTTGTTGTTTTGCAAAGCAGAACATATGTGAATTGCCCAGCATTTTGCATTCGTGAGATAATCTTCATTTGTGACAAGGCAAAATTATTTTGACACTTCTGCAATTTTGCTAACCCACGTATTCGAATAACAAAATCAGCTTACGCAAGAACCTGTGGTATGTATTTGGTGTTAAAGTCTGCTTGTCTGCTAAGCATGTTTCTAGGTAGCACATAAATATAGAGTGTCGGTCTAAATATTATAGCAACAGCACAACCTAATGTGCATGGTGGGTGATTCGTTTAAATTATGGCACTAGAAAACCAGTTCTAAATGGTTGTGTTGCTGCAATAGATATATTCAATTATTATCAGTTTTTATTTACTAAACGCAAATATGGCCGATACCTTGCAAAATTGGCCCTGTGCTATGTAATTCGCAATAATAGCTCAAATTCTTAACTGCATGACAATATTTTCAATATAATGTCAACACTTGTAAAAGTTTAATTAGAGATGAATTCTGGGCATTTTGTCTGTCTGTTTTGTAGATCCAGTGTGTCTATGCTTTGTTTCAAGCAGTAGACATGCTATCATGATGAAGGTAGCACTGCTCTACTTTTGAGGCAGCTTGATGGAAGCGTTCACTATGCTCAAAACTAAGTAAACCGCATTTTGCAATCAAGAAATACAAATGTGAAAGAAGATAGTGGATATTTGGTGATATATTAGTACAAAGTTTCTGTTATTGATTGGATATAGGTTTTAAATGTCCCTTAAAATGCTCTCCAAAATTTCCCAAGAACCTATGTTAGCGCTCGGATAAAAACACTCCAAGCGCTTTCAGATCATCTCACAGCAAACTATTGAACTTATCCTCCTTGAATAAATGTCGAACAAGAATAATTAAGCAAATACTTTTGTTAATTTAGCTTCATCGCAAAATGGGAATATTTTCTTTCATCAGAAAGTGGATAAGAACGTGGATATAAGGCCATGCTGTCCCGTTTCCATGGCGACATTCAACGTCCGCACTCTAAGACAAACAGGTCAGCAGGCTGCACTCGCACGCACCTTGGACACACTGGGTGTTGATGTGTGTTGTATGTCCGAAACTAGGATTAATGACCCTAACGGGGTTATTGAATTGACTGCACCCGGCTTATCCTCTCGTTATTGGTTGCACGCATCCGGAGACGCCGATGCGGCACTCAAGTGTCAAGATGGTGTAGGTATCATTCTCAGCTCCAAAACTGAGTCATCGTTGGTTGATTGGATTCCAGTGAACAGCTGTTTATGTGCAGCCCGTTTGACGACATCAGCTAAGGTGAATTCGCGAAGTAAAACAAAACGTTGTTTGTTTGTGATTTCCGTTTACGCCCCCACCGACTGCAGTTCTAATGCAGTCAAGGACACATTCTATCACGAACTTAACGCCCTACTACGCAGTGCTACTAGTTCAGATATTATAGTACTTGCTGAGCATATGAACGCATAAGTAGGGCGTCTGAGCTCTTCAGAAGCTAAGCTGGGTGGTAGTTATGGACTTAACTCCGAACGGACTGACAACGGCGAGCGTCTGCTGCAACTGGGTGCGGAGCACCAGTTGTTTCTTACTAGCACTGATTTTAGACACAATGGGCTCCGAAGTGCCACTTGGCGTCCACCTGTAGCTGGCCAGCGATGGACCCAAATTGACCACATAGCCATAAGTTACAGATGGCGCGGTTCCATTCTGTATTGCCGCTCCTACTGGAATACCTGTGTCGACTCTGATCATGCCTTGGCACGTTGTCGTTTCTCAATGAACTTTACCGGAAGGCGCATAAAGCGTCCCCTACGATTGGCATCGGAGAAATTGTCTCAGTCCTCGGTAAGGCAAGCCTAGCAAGAAGCACTGCATAGCGAAATCTCGCTGTCATGTCCTAATGACACTGAGCTTCAGTGGACTAGGATCTCGGCTGCTATGCACGACGCAGGAGCATCTGTTTGTGGCACTATCAATCGTCACTGCACCAGTCACTGGATATCCGAGGGGTTCGCGAACCTTTTGGAAGCTAGAAGACACCTCCCGGCTGGTTCTGAACACAATGTGACCAGACGGGCTACTAGGCTTGAACTAAAGCAGAGCCTACTTGCTGACAAGGAAGTCTGGTGGACCAGTAGGGCTCAAGAAATGAAGGCAGGAGCAGTAGGCAATTACCGGAAGCTCTTCCAGCTAATACGCACCACTGGTCCGAGAAAACCAGGCGTCAGTGAGACAATCAGGGACAGCGCGGGTGCGCTGACACACAATAAGGAGCGCCGTATGGCTTGTTGGGCTGAACACTTTGAAGATCAGTTTAGATGGCCCCCTGCTCTCGGACCTCTTCCTTCTCAGGTGGTGCAGGACGTGCCATGGACGGTTAGTTTAGAGCCTCCGTCGGAGGCCGAGGTCCGAAACGCGATCACAGCCCTCAATCGTTTTCGTGCCACTGGCCAGGATTCCCTCCCACCTGGACTATTTATGGATGGAGGTGAGGTCCTCTGCAAAGCAATGACCTCCCTATTCGAACGTATCTGGCACAAAAAGAGTGTGCCGGCTAATTGGATCGAATCGCTTATAGTGGTAGTATACAAAAAGAGCAGTCGCACAGACTGTGCTAACCACAGGGGTATTAGCCTAACGCCAGATGTGACAAAATTACTGGCCTCGATTCACGTTCGTCGCCTCACTGCGGAACGGGAATCTCGGATTAGGGAAGTGCAGGCAGGTTTTCGGCCAGGACGTGGCTGTATAGACCATACATTTACTTTGCGGCAGGTGATAGAGCAGCGCCACGCATACCGCAGACCGACAAAAGCTGTGTTCCTCGATTTCAAGAGTGCGCTCGATTCAGTCGATTGATCGATTCTGTTCGAATTACTTGCGCGCAAAAGTGTTCCCACGAAATATTCGAACAACCTTCGTGCTCTGTACTCGAACACTACAGGCCGCGTCAGGGTATATGGTGTCCTATCGGATAGCTTTCCGTCTACAAGTGGCGTTCGTCAGGGTTGTCAGATTTCCCTGTTTTTGTTCAATTTCGTCGTGGATTCTATCATGGAGTGTTCCCTTGCGGAACCTCACGATGTAGGTGTTAAAGTGCTGCCTGGTGAACGGTTAGTTGATCTAGATTATGCGGACGATATCGTCTTGCTTTCCGACAATTCTGAGGCGGCACAATCAACCCTGAATAGCCTATCCAGAGTGGTCCCATTATTTGGTATGTACTTCGCACCTTCAAAGTGCAAAGTATTGCTGCAGGACTACCAGCCATTTGATGACCCCTTGACGCTTGCTAACGGGGAACTCGAGGTAGTTGATCAATTCACTTATCTTGGCAGCTGTATCAGCAAGATTGGGCGCATAGAAACTGACGTGAGCTCACGCATTGCAAAAGCCAGAGCTGCCTCCTTGAACCTGCGTCATCTTTGGCGACAGAAGGGAGTTTCCCTTCATCTGAAAGGCCGTGTATACAAGGCCACATTGCGGGCCGTTCTGCTCTATGGTAGTGAAACTTGGCCCCTTCTCTCTGGAGATCTGAGGCGCCTTCAAGTCTTTGAACATCGATGTCTGCGAAGAATTGCTGGAGTCGGATGGCACCAGCGTGTCCGCAACGATGATGTGCGTAGACGAGTACTGTGTGGTAATAATCATGCTAGCTCCCTAGAACAACAGCTAGCACTGAATATGTTGCGTTGGCTCGGGCACTTGCTACGTATGCTTGGTCACCGCTTACCTAGGAAGGCCTTGTTCAATCTACCAGGTGTAGGATGGCGCACGGCTCGAGGTTTACAGAAGTTGACTTGGCAGCGGGAAATGAAGTCACTGACGACCAAACTGGGTGCCGTTGGTCCGTCTCGCCTTCCGGGTTGTAGTCCACGTGACTCACCTTGTGCTTGGCTCGAGACTTTACAGGACATGGCTCGCAACCGACACCAGTGGCGCGTCTGCTACCGTCTCCTAATCGGATTGTCTGTTTAAAGTGTGTTTGGTGCTGAGTTATCTGCGGTGGCAGTGAAAGCCGCAAGGAAGCTGTCTCGCCGATGCCGCCTTATCTTTGCACGAGAGCCAGCTGTTTGTGACGGTATGTTGACTACACAAGGTTTAGGCGCCTTGACCCTGAATGTTTGCTTAGAGCATTAAGGTTTCCAGGTAAGTCCCCCTTCTCTCCCTCTTCTTATTATTCATTTTATAGGTCCTCATGGTTGTATGGCAACGAAGCATCAGTTCAAATGACTGATGTTCTGCTGTTGATGAGGATGATGATGACTTGGAAAAAGTTTGTTAACTGGCTTCTGCGAAGCAGTTCAATAAACCTAGTTTCTTGTGTAGACAATGTAGCTGGATTATATGAGTGTAGACCAGTGCCGGTTAATGGATATTCTTCTCGCAAAATGTTATTTTGTTTTCAGGTCCATTTCTTCAGCAATATATAAAATGTCCTGCTCGGTCACCACATTCGCACAAAACGCCAGTATTTTCTTACCTAGCTGCAGTGAGATTAAAAGAGTGTATTCAAAGCACAAGGAAAATGCCATAGTTAATTTATACATAAAAAGGAAAGCAGCTTTATAAAACTTTTAGGTGGCTAGCATGCAGTAACAAATAGTTGATATATTGTTTCCGTTCAAAAATGCCGCATCGAAATTTTATGTATGAAAGAGTCTACAAATGGTATCAATTCTGCTGACTCATGAGTTATAATTAAGGCAATTATGAGAGCTTCAATATTGAAACATCATTCCAGAGGCACTTTTGAGTAATTGTAGTTAAAACACCTTATTCTGGAACTTTCCGTTGGTGAAATCAGAAACCCAGCAATTTTCCATCTTTTTGTATAAAACAAAATAATTTGGTTATCCTAGTGCTATTCGCAAGGTTAATTATGCGTTAGCAAAAATTTACATCACAACA